TAGGCCGAATAAATCTTATAAATGTTGTTTTTGTATTATGCGAGGATTACGATGAGATATATCATTATGCAAACTGCTATACTTTCTACATTCTCGAATAAAAAGATAGTACAGGTGTATCTTTCGCAAATTATAGTAAGGTAATATCGAAGATCTTTTGCCGTACGTTTCTCCGACTATTTCTCTTATGTAAAAATACAAAAACGTGTTTAGGAAAATAGGAACAAAATTTGTAAAACAGATTTTAAATTAAAATTTTTAATGAAATACAAAAACATTTTTCAAGTTACATGTGAATTGCGAACACACTTATGTTTATAAACATTTATGAATGCTGTTTTTGCATCATTGCAAGGATTGTTTCGGTGAGATTACACAACTGCTATACTTGCTACAGTCCCGGCTAAAAAGATAGCACAAGTGTATCATCTTTAATTATATTTTTAATTATAATGTTTTGATGTTACATTCATAATATCATTAATGTTACGAATGCTGGTTAAAATACTGTGTGCTATTTTTGTGTGTGTGTTGGTGAGTGTAGACATACATATATTTCTAGAATTATTTTTGTGGTTATACATTTCCACTCCATCGACAGCGATAGCTAATAGTTTTTATAAAGTAAGCCAAATTAAAGTGAAAAATGAATAATTCATTAATTTTGTTTTTATTGACAGAAATTGTTAAAATTTTCGAGTTACATTCGATTATATTTCCTGTATTCTCTTTATGCCATATAAACTATTGAAATAAATTTTTATCTAAGAAATTCTTTTTTTTTTCCATACAGTTACAATTCGCAGAATTTAATACGTGAATTTTATTTTGAGTTTGCAGGCACTTGCCTTTGTAATAGCTATCAACCTCAAAACGCAGGTGTGAAAGATAATTATTACAAGAAAATTGCTATCAATTGCTTAATACATCTTCGTAACAAGATCGCGTACTTCTCATAATATATAATCTTATTCGTGTATTGTATAATTAGAGCTTAATTGTTTATAACGGATACTTCCACGTTCCAATCGTGTAATGAAAATCGTGTAATAAGCGTTGCGCGCTTTTTCGGGCTTTCCGAGAAAAAATGATTAGATATAATCATATATGATTATATCTGGTATATACATATATAATTAGATATAATTGTATATGTTTTTATATGGTGTCATATCTAATTATACATGGTGCAATACATGGTGGTCTTATGTGCAATCAGTGGACCTATATACAACCAGAGCACCATATCTAATTGTATATAAATGTATGTGAAGCCAGATATAATAATATGTGAGTAGTGCACTCTATATATAACTAAGTATAGTATTATATACAACTATACAATGCAGTCACATATAGCCAGATGTATTCATGTGACTAATCTGGACCTATATACAGCCAGATATAGCACTATATCTGTATAGATATACATAGATTTGCAAGTCCAGCCCATATACAATTATATACATATATTACAATATTATTTCTTCAATCACATATAGCCAGCAATATTCATGTGGCTTACTATATATGGTATTACTATATAATATATTTATTGCCGTTAATGCATGGAATGCACCGCGGCAAATACTCGATCTATGGATGATGCATCCCGTATACCGATGCATATGAATTATTTAAACGGAACGCGGCCGGTTACATATACACTCGGTGGCTGTTTTAAGCCGCGTCTTGCGAGACTTTCACCGTTCGTTTACTTTCACCATTGAAAATTTAGCACCGTCTATTTCGCCCATTCTGAGCAGAGGCGCGTGCGATTAGGCTGTTTTTGTTTCGCAGCGAGAATTCGGTTATATTGCGATCTGGGATAATCAGCAAATTGCTCATCCAACCGGTTTAGAAGCCGGTATTTTTTTTTACCGTTAACCGTCTGAGGTGCTTTTGAATATTTGCACGAGCAGTATGAATTTCTTCAAGTTCTTGATACTTGCCAGGTTATTATAGCGAATTGATGTTTATCACGCTTTGATACCTGCATTAATTACATGCTTTTTCTGTACTACATTGTTACTTGTTACTGTTGTACTTGTCTATCTTTAGAAATTATTATTAATTAAGCTTACGTAATAATTAATTGGATTGGATTGGATTTATGTATATATTTTATTAACTAACTTTACGTTAAAAATTCCCTTATATGATTGAGAATCTTGAACGGATTTCCAAAATTTTAAATGGTAAATTAAATGCGATAAAGATTGAATACTAACGATATAAACTGTTAGAAATTTTAGGTATTATTATTAAAAATTATTAAAAATTAATTACTGCACAACGAAATCTGCACGATACTATATGCGACTAAAGTGTAGGTATATTGTAATAAAATAGAAAGACAAATCTTACAAAAGATAACAGATTAAAGAACATTGTAGTTTTTACCTCATAGAATTTCATAAACATTTTACAACTCAATGATATTGAGCTCAATGACTTATCTATAAGAATTACTTATAGATAAAAGTCATTGATCTTAATATTATTATCTTTCTACCAATTTTTTCATTTAACATTAACTAGAAATTAAAAATTGATATCAATAATTTTTTCTTTATAACAATTTTCTTATTTTTAAATAGGTACATACAAGACACGTTTAGATATAATTAAACAGTAATTAGATAATTTTTTGCTGAGATTTTGTTAGTCTTTTTTCTATTTTTATCTCTAAAAAAAAGATACCTATAAATATTTTATATTATCAACAGTGTGTCAATCTTAACATTCATTACCTGATATTGGTATATATGTGACCATGTTTCTTTTTGCTTGCTTTTGCGCAAGCTACAGTCGATCACCTGACCTACAGATGATCCAAAAGAAAATTTAAAATAAATATCAGCAGCAGTTCAATGTCCAAGAAGAATATTTTAAGTGGTGGTTTTTACACTATGACGTGTAAGACTATTTCGAAATACTGTTTTAAATATTAAATTTGATTTGACAGTGGCGTAATATTGCAATAAGATATTTATATAGAATCTGTCAAAAAACATGGTTTAATCTAAAAGAAGATGATTTTTTTATTTTATTTATTTTTTATTTAAACAGCAGCTATTTTTATATTATATTGATAAGAGGAAACTATAAAAATACAGATTTCTTTGCAAGCATTTACAATTTGTTGAAGACCATATACGTTACCTTATTTTATTATTTATTATTTATGCAAAAGATATGACGAAGGAAAATTTTGAGTTTTATATTAAACGTTGCTTCTTATGTGTGTGTGTGTGTGTGTGTGTGTGGATGTGTGTGTAAAAAAATAAAATTAATGTAATTAATTCTTAGTATAATTAATTCTGAAAATTATTATATGTATATATTATGTAGTTTATCACAACGAATATGTTTATGGAAGTATTAAAATATCTAACAGAATATATAAAATAAAAACAGATTGCCTGATTATCGGAAATAGGATTATAGATAAAACTAAAAGATTTTTTAATCCTAAAAATTTAATGATGTAAAGTAGTAATAAATAAATATGTATGTTCCAAACATACAGTAAATATGTAAATCCTTACTTTAAATTAATAAATTGATAAATTTTCTGTCTTTGCCTTATTCGGATTTTGTATTGCACCATCGTTGTTGCTTAGTCAAAATTATAATAACCATGATTTCATTAAATATTCCTTTTTGTACAAAATAAATATTCTTTTTTATTCTTTCGATATGAAACGCGGCAAGAGTTCGATACGTTACTACTCTATTTTTGAAAGAGGGAGAAAGGGAGACATGAGCAAACGCAGATTTAATTCTTACGCGGTCTATATATAAATATTAATAAAAATCACTCCTTTAGAAGCCACCTCTTTCGAAAGAAATGTATAATCTATAAAAAAATGAGCTTCGGTTCGGTTCCTAACTGGAAAGTTCATTTTTTTGGCAATTCCGCTTCAGTTCGGTTCCTAACTGGAAAGATCATTTTGGCAATTTCGTTACACAGTCTGTTTTCGCTCTTCGATAAACTAGCAAACTTACACGAAGTGTAAGTATAATATACACATTCACACATGTACACCCGTTCATACATATAATATACATACATATAGAAAGTGCATATTCATTTATACGCGTAAAAAAACTTCGCCGCGAAGCACCCAGAAGGAACACCAAAAGATCAGACTTTCAGAAATTCCGGTAGGCGTTCAACGCGCTCCTCCTCTCATTTTTCATTTCTTCTAATATCTTCTATCTATTTAACGGACTACTTTTATTCTATCACGCCATATGAGGATAGCGACTGTAGTGGTGCAATGTGGCGAAGTGCTCTAAATGATTCGCAGTGTAATGTACGCTCGATACACGATTGAAGTCTCTTTGAATTGGGGGCGGGGCTTCTTATATTATTCATCAAAGCCTCGGTTGTCGATGAACACGCGATTTCTGAGGCCGCTGTCCGAGATGTAGCCGGTGGCCATTTTGTATTGATTTGCGTATATCACGCCATTTTCGTTGCCGTTCTCCTTGATGCCATTTCTGTGCTCATTCTGTTCTTTCTTATCGTCCTTTTGCTTGCCCGACGCGTCCTTCAAACGCTTCTTCTTGTACGCTTCGTTGTAGAAGTTGCGGAAGAGGAAATAAAACATAACGGCGTGCATGCCGATCCACCAAACGAAAGCCTTCGGGTAATTGCAATCGATGAAAAGCAGCTGGAACGCATGGACCATCACGAGGACGAACTGGATCATTTGTAAGGTGGTCAGATATTTCTTCCACCACAGATATGGCTGTATTTGCGGCCCAAGCGCTGCCAGGAGATAGTACGAGTACATTATGATGTGTACGAAGGTGTTCAGAAAACCGAAGAAGGTGCTGTGGCCACCTACAAGAAATAAAAATCATCAGTATTATAGACAGGTTGCGTTTTATCAATTATAACAGATGAATATGTAATATCTTATAAAATCCGTCGCAAGTTGATCCACACAGAAAACTCGAGCTATATAATTGTTATTATGTTATAATTATTAAAAAAAAAAAAAAAAAAGAAATTTTAAAAAATACAAAATATAAAAAGCTTTCTGATGAGTTAATTATCACACACAAGTATCAAACTAATCTCGCTAAATTTGAATTCACATTTTGCATATTTGCGAAATAAAATATGTAAATATTTTATATTGAGAGATAATAGTAAAAGCCCATACATATCGACTCGAATTTCAAGAAGATTGATATTAATCGATTGCGCTCTGCTAATGAAAGATAGAGATTGTATGCTTACCGGGGGTGAATTTAACTCCGAACCAAACAGACATGGGCATGCAGCCGTGATGGATGACATGGAGAGTGGTAATGTGATCGTTCTTCTTTCTCAACACAAAGAAGATCGTGTCCGTGAACTCCATGAACTTTGAGATGTAGTACCACCAGGAACCTCGTGCCATTCGCAGCGCCATCGGATCGTTTGAGTAATCGACCGGCTGACACCTGAAGGAGTAATGTCCTCCCCAGCCTCCGGCCAGACTCTACGAACACGAGAGAAAAAGGATAAGGTTATCTCGATGAGTTTCTTCTGCATTTTGTACAGAGCCGCTTGGCAACTTACCTCGTTGAACAACCACGTGGAGAATATTACTTGAAAGAGATTGTACCATATCATCACTTTTCTGAGATCAAAGGGTTTTCGATTCTCCATCAGTTTCGGTCCCAAGACCTTAACGAAATAGGCATAGAACAAGCAGATCGCCAATGTGGGAAACGGGCCGCTCATCATCGACCAATCGTTGACCCTCGGATCGCTTTTATTGTCCATCAGGTCTCGGTAACCATCGTAAATCAATCGCACTAATTGCGCCATCTAAAATCAAAGTGATATTTTTGTCACTATTGTGTTACTTCTTATTAAAGCGAAGTCGTTTATGATCATAGTATAATGCGCTTTATGCCGGTCTGTCTCGTTATAAAACTGATGAGGTTTTATGGTAGAAGAAAACAGTGTCGTTATGGTTTAATTGATATTATTATATAAAAGTCTACCGATTATTATAGATATCGTTCTAGATAAATGGTTATATTTGTTGCCTGAGCAACGCGATTTATAATAAGTGTACGGTTTAAGTAACACTTGTTGCAAAACTAGGAAATGTAGAAGTCGTCAGGATCATACTTCTTTATATTATGTAATTGATTATCATCGATAAGCTTGTCAAGTTTGATGTCTACTATGGGATTATGGCACAGACAATTAGAAGAGATCTAAAGTGTGATGTCTACTATGAGTTTATGGCACAGACAATTAGAAGAGATCTAAAGTGTTTATTTTGAATGTTACGTTAGAATACCGGTCGTAGCCTAATAAATTAAAGTAAGGATCTAAATATAACAAATATTGCTGCATATACATCTAATTTTAAATTAAGAAAAAAAAATGTTTAAATTATATTAAACCAGAACAAGAGAGAGCATCCGCGTGCTCGCAATCATTTCAATTAGATCCTGCTTTTCAATCTTGTATCGGCCGCACTTAATAATAAAAAAAGATATGAATATGTTGAAAATTTTTTCAAAGACAGACACTTAATGAAATAGAATTTTCTAAAATCAGTTACATTTGAAACGTTGAGAATTCTGATAAAAGCAGTTCTTCCTCTTCTGTTTATAACGTTTATATCATAAATGGGAACATGGTTACTAAGAAAGAACAGTGACTCAGAACTCAGAATTAACTGTACATTGTTATCGCGATTTTTATTTCTTAAAGTATTCTCACGAGATAGGCTGTGAAGCGCGCAACGAGAACAAAGGGAACAGATGGTGCACCACAACGCACTCGCTTGATTTGAATCGCGAGGCACGCGACTCGATCTCGATCTTCGGCACGCTCAACGCAAAGTTTCGAGGATTTATGGATTGCCACGTTTCGCCTTGGAAGGTTAAACCACCTCTCCTTTCACCTGATTAAAGCAGATCAGAAACTAAACTAGTGATCTAAATGGTTTATCCAGGAGCGCGGAAACCCGCCTTTGCCACTGCTCTCCCCGCTTGTCTTCGCGACTTTGCTCTTATCGGTAGCTAATACGGATCTTATTTTTCAACCTTGAGAAAATGTTAAAGTAAAAGGCGGCGTTGGATTTCGCCTGGCTTTTGTAATTCGTCGCGATAGTTGTGAAGATAAATTCTGCAAAACGTGACTTTTTTTTGTTTAACTGTTCCCGAAGTTGCCACAAATCCCGCGTGGGAGGGATGTAAAAGATTCTGTTATTTTTGCAGAAAATTATTGCGTGGAAGTAAAAGGAAAAATATTTATTTGCACCGGAAAAGAGACAGAAAAATGTGCCTGGAAAAATAATTGCGTGGAAGTCGAAGGAGCTTCATTATCTTCATTTTTTTTATTACGTAATAAAAAATGATGACAATTCACTTTGCAACATATCAGATTTTACCGTTTCGACATTCATTATTTTGCAACATAGTATTTCAAAGTAATCGTCGCGAATAATTTTATTTAATTAACATTATTATATGCCTAGCACGCAATTTCATATGTTTTGTGCAGAAAATTGCACTATGATGTATGTAAATGATTCTATCTCATCAAATGTGGTACACAATGTTCATAGTGGGTGATACTTTTGACGCATTAAATATGTCAATATTTGACTTTCGTCTCTATGACATAAAAGCTGCGACTAAACATATATGTTCCTACAGTAGCAATGTTGGGACAGGCATTGATCGTCTGTTTGCGTTTTAGTAATATTTTTCAAGATATATCAAATAGATATTCTACTAATTACAAATTATGAAAATATCGAGACGTCAGAGGTCTTTGAGTAATTAGCGGGTGAAGATAAAGGATTTTTTTCTATGTTCGAGAATAATTCAGTTAAACAAATGGAATTTAATCTTAGTTTTTTATCATAACAATAAGTCGCTTTAAAAATTGAAAAATTGTACTTAATGAACTTTGTCGAGCTTTGTCACTTCTCTGTAGTAATACCGCAGCACTGCGAAAAAATAATTTTGAGTGGCAAATTATAGCCATAACACTAAAGATTTAATGTTTACTGAGAAAGATAATTTTTTTTACTGTTGCAACTTTATTGTAACAAGATAAGAAAGTTGGTGGACGGAAATTGTCAAATATATTTGCAAGCCATATTTTTTTGCGATTTAGCAATTCGGTGCAGAACGAATGGCTGGTGCATTTTATTTCGAAACCAGTCGATCTAATTCCCTTTGCCGATTCGATTCCGTCACGTCTTAAACAGCATAGCGTACTTGCTAGTCTCCCGGTTAATTGAGGTGCTCTTCTCTCAATCGAGGGGAGCTTGCAGAGACGCGAAAACGGCCCGTTCCCGTGACTTCGCGATTCCCGATTTCCTCAAAAACAAAACCCATTTATTCTGGACGAAAAAAACGACTAACAACAGCGCCGCGCGTGACTCGCACAAGTCCGCGGTCGCGGATTTCGCAACCCGCGTGCTCGCAGCAGAAAGGAAAAGTCGCCGTCTCGTTAAAGACTACATGCGACTAAGAACTCGTTTCTCGCCGCGGAAAAATGCGGTCCCTTACACGCGTTCGCAGTCGTATCGATACTCGTCTTGCAATCCTGCTCGCTCCTTCGTTCCGCCGCGTTAATAGAGTCGACCTGCACTTGCAGCAATACGGCGCGACTCTACTGCGAACGTATTTTTAAAGATGCGTAACATTTAGACCCGAACGTTCAATATATATGTCGACGACGGCGATGAGGGAGCTTATCTCTAATCATACGTATAGTGTGCTCGATGCGTCAAGCGGACTCTCCAGTCGGGAGATTAAAATGATCCTTTCCTTAAGATGTTACGATATTTAACCATAATCAATCATGAGCGCAGATAATTTCTTTTTTATATCTCGTAAATGTATTATCGAATATAGTCGCTGCAGTGACATGCGTTAACGCAATTCGGACAGTTTTTATTATCACATCGCGCATAAAGTGATTTTCGTGCAACTTATACGATCTTACTTTCTTCGTGAGTGTAATATTAACGAATTTTCTTGATTATAGCTTGCCCTTACGTTGTATAAGTGATCTAATGTAAGAAATAGTACCGTTGCCATCGTTAACCCGCTCGTCGTAAAATACTTTGATTCGCAAAACGTCTCGGAAACGTTTTCCGCGATCGAACGTTACGGCCAATTTTCTGGGCAATTATCCTAAAACCGTGTTTGTTTGATTGTACGAATAATTTTTATCTCATCGCAAGTCAGCGAGACGCGTAACATAGAATTTGCAAACGTGTTTCGACATACGGTCGTAAATCATGTCGAAAAATACGGTAATCATCATGGAATTTCCATGACATCGTCATCGACGACTGCATCCTTCTTGAACGCGCACGTGCCGGATGAGAATTTTCTTCTCCGTCATTCACAGGAAGTTTTCTTGAATTCACATCTCGTGCAATGTAAATTGTCCCCCGGGTATTTTTGCCGAGCAATGACGCGAACTTTGACTCTTGAATGAAAAAAAAAGAAAAGGAAGTGAATAATGGATTTGTGATATAAAGCTTGGCGTTCGGCTCGTGAGGCAATCACGAGCTAAGTCTGCTATTTGCTTGACGAGTCAGGCGCATCCTCCCGCATGTATTTGATAACGAAAGTGAGCTGCGACACCTTTGAGCTGTTCTTACGGCATGCGCCCACGATGTCGGGTAACGTGCGTGATCGCGTGCCTGCGTATGTTCATACGGGCACACGTAATTTAATTCGCTTTTAATTAATGCGCAACGTATTTATGTCTGTGCAACGGAATTCGCCCGACCTTAAGGAACGAAGAAAAATATTTTCTCAAGCGCGCTAATGTGCCGTAGAAGAAATCTGTGAAGGACGAACGAGTTCTGTGTTGGCGTGCAGAACAAAGTGCGATATTTCCGAGATCAAAAGTCGAGAGTTTTCCGGAAGAAACTGAAAAATATGTACATCTGCAACTTGATTTGGAGGGAAGTCGTTTTGTGCGTGATATCTAAGAAAATTAAATATAATTATTAATTATGTTTAATTAAATAATTATTAATATAATTATTAATTATATTTAATTAAAATATTATTGTTAAGAAATTAATTAGCGACGTGTGACGAAGATGAATCGTCAATCAATATGCTAAAAATAAAAAATAAATAGATCATTAATATTTATTAGCTTGAAGATATTTATGAATTAATAATGTCTACAATGTAAGTAGTATACATTTTGTTTGTCTGCTTTACTAAAAATAAATTTTGGCAACTCTTAAAATGTATATTAAATTATTGTTCTTAATTAAACGCCTCTCGATATTTTTAATCATATGTTTTTACCTTAAACGGTCAATATATATCTGACATAAATATTTAACATACAATTTTAATCACGTTTTTTCACTATTTGAGATTACGTATAAATTAATTTATGAGTTTAGGCAAACAAGAAAATATTGATTCAGAAAAACATGAATGAAATTCTTAGGAGATAAATTATAGTTATACAACTAATGATATTGAAATTAAGTGTAAGTACGCTGATATGACAACGACGTTAGAAATTCATTGAGTATTATGCTCGTTTTTGTTACTTATTTTTGATTATATACGCAATTCCATATAATTAAAGATCATATTTATATATGATATATTTATAATGTTAGTGTTTATAATTTTTTGCGAATGTATATATCTATTATATGTATCATCCAGCAAAAATAGATCTACATTGACTAAATTTTAACGTTTTCATAGAAAACTCACATTATTTCTTGAATTACGATGCCTCCGTTTTCTTCTTTTTACATCATAAATGTAAAATTTTTATATTGACTAAATCTCTTTGTATTTAGTTTTGAAATATGTGATTCATGGTGATAAGCGTGTTAACTTTGTCAATAAAAAAATAATTTTTTTTAATAAATTTACAAATAAAACATTTTTTTTAGTAGAGCTCGAAATAAGAATATTACATTTAGATTTGTAAAAATGTAATTCTCTGACTGAAAATGCAACTTTTTCCAAGTATATTTATTAATTCGCTTTTTAATCTGCTTTTTATTATGCATTTTGTACGTGTATACATGAAACAGAAAACAGTCTGTATACCATAAAATCGGTGATCGTTACGGTATGTGCACTCAACATATTAATAATACAGCCAAGAATAATTCACTATCTATCTGCATAACTCGAATGTCACATGTGACAAATTGAAACGCACATATTCATTTATTTCATTTCATATCAACATTGTATCGATATCTTGTTAAAAAAAAAAAAAATCTTTCGTAAAGTATGTTTTTTTCAATTTATGAAAAAAAGCATAAATATTCGTAATCCTGCTTATGATCTACCACACGTGGAATATACCGACAATCATTAACTTGTTTAAATGCAGAATCTAAACTTGAATATTTCTCGTGATAAAGAATTGTGTAACTGCGCCGTGTGATAACAACAGTTCGCACACGGAGCACGTAAATCGTGCTATACTCACTGTGTCACTCTTCGCGTGGTTTTATCGTTGCGAAATCCTCTCGGTGCGAAACAAGCGCGTGCAGAAGTTTCACTGAAGAGACGGTGCTGAATTTGCGAGTGTGACCGTGGTACCACCGTGATGACGTATCCGAAAAGGTAAGAGAGAAAAAGAAGAAAGGACAAAATATAAGGTAATTAGATCGTGGCACGAGCACGGGTGTGAGACACCTCTTCCGCGAGGCATCAGTCGACAAACTGAGGCCGCACCGCTATCACGGGGCCTTATATCGTCTCTCATCGAACACCTCCACGAGCGTGTCGTAGGTTACGTCTTTTTAATCCATCGCGCTTTCTTACTATCATCCTCGTGGAAGAGTAGATGAGAATGAAGATGCTTCGTTCGTTCATGCGGTTTTATTACTCCGTTGAAGGTGATTCTCGTCAAAACTCGCCCTGAATCGACGGATGCAATCATAGCTGTGATACGAAGAATATGAGAGTGTCGGCGAAGGTCTGTGACTTGACGAATTTATTTGGCGACGTGTAAAATTGACAATCGTAGTAATTAAATTAAAGTTTACTTTCATTTGCACTATAAACAAGATATATATCGAAATTGAAAGTAATAACAGACCTACATTTATATATATTTTACAGTTTTGTGATCTTTAATATCGATTTGTTACAAGAAAATTCCGATCGAAATTGGAGTAATATATATGTGTACTAATTTATTGTTGTTTCTTGTAATTCAATTTGCTTTCAAGAGAAGGTACTTTGTAAAAACATTTTACTTTGCTCATTACCGATTGATTCTGCATAAAATATCATTCTTCTCATGTATATGACCGGTTACTAATTTAATGGAAAATAAATTATTTCGGAATTCTTTCTTTTTAAAATTTATATTCATACGATTGAAGAAAAATACATATTTGTATACGTAAAAATATATGTATATTTGTAAGCCTGGTGACAATAAAAATTTGTGCGCAATACGAAGTATAAAGGAAATTGTTTTTATGCCCGTGAATTCTATCAGTCTATTGTGTCGGTGTGTAGAATTGCGTATTATAAATACATTCTATTGTGTTAGCCTTTGAGAATGTTTAGAATATTGTTTACAATGTACTTAATCTACTAAGTCTATTCTGTAGTTATTACGGAGAATATTTGCGTGACTCTGAATCTAATTATCTCATTCTTGATATGGCTTTGCGCATCAGAAAATTATACTCGAACAAACAAAGTTTATGATGGAGCATTGATGAAATTTTGATGCAAATATCCTATTTGTATCATCGATAATATTTAAGAATATTTAATTATATTGTCGACATAATTAATCTTTTAAATGTAAGATATATGTTCGAGTTAAAGATACTTATACTTATTTATTTTGCGTGAAGTATGTTTTAAGAAAAAAATTAATTTTAAACTATTTAATTAAATTATTTTTTAAAAATAATTTTAGTTAAATACATAAATGTTGTACATACATATAACATGCATTAACATGCATATAATAGACATTAATTTGTATAATTTGAATAAAATTTTAAATTCATTTGCTGAATATTAGTTTTATGATTTTTAATTAAATTGCTTTGTATTTACGTATTATACTTGATTTTGCGCATAACACTTGCTTTTGGTGACTTTTTTTAGGACCAAGTGACCAAGCGCTTTTTGCGTGCAATTTTGCATACTTATCAAGGATGATTGCCCAATTTTTTTCGAAAACAAGTCATGATATGCATACAATACGTCCAATAGAATTCCCGCAGACTAAATTCTCTTATTTTTTATTCTTTACAAATGCTATTAATGATCTTTCGTAAAGATTGTATCAATGCACAATTTATTCTTTACGTGCCGACAATAAAAATAAGTATATAAAGTGACATTGAATGCGTTCTATCGTGATTTATCCACTATTTATACGGCGAACGTATTCAATTACGGTTAAATTAGAATATGATGCAATACTTTAACTTGGAATAGTACTATTTAAATGTAGTTCCTTTTTGCGCGATTAATTTTCATGAAGCATATATATATATATATATACATATATACATATATTTAGTACTATATAACGTTGCAACTTTGATTACAATTGTTATAAAATGCTGTTATATTGTTATCTGAAACAAATAATTACATAGCGCTACTTTGTGCAAATAAAAATATTTACGAGCTTGTTATTGCACTTCCTAATACCTTCTTCAATGGCACTTAATCATTAATGCACTTGTGATTGACTTTCGATTTTCATTTAGCATGTCATTTTTTCCGCTGTTGTACACATTATGAATATCGTACTCATGTTTTATAAACTATGGTCTTCATGTTGTTTTTATATTATACTATATATATATATATACATACACACACTAATAGTCTGCATCGAGATAACGGTTATAACAAGGAAAAAAATACATATAATACTAATAATAATATAGAATAGATATATAATTTCTTATAATAAACGTTTCTAAAGATTATAACAGTGCACAGTAATTTGATGAATAGTACGCTCTTTTATTTTCCACTTTTCGAATGAATCACAGTTTATTAGGCGAGAACGACTGACGCAATACGATGAAATCGTATTCTTTGTAATTTTCCGTAGATTCTTGTATATATTGACTTTTTTTGCCGTGACATAAAGTGAACGATGAACTCAATTAAAAAATACGGAAGTCTCGGTAATATGGTAATATAGGAACAGAGATAAATTGAGATATCAAGTAATTCTGAAGTGATGACACAATTTACATATGTCTCAATTTTAATATTGGAATTTCCAGTAGACACTACATATTACTATTCTACTTAACTTTTTGTCGATCTGTTTGTGCTGTTTTTTAATTTTTCCGTATCAACGCATCTACGTGATGTACTCAAGATGATTATACATGTAAGAGATCGTTATTATCGGTAATGATGCATGTAAATAACTGTCTGGGAAGTTTAAAAGCGTCACTTTAAAACTACATATTGAGCATGATTAAGACAGGTAAAAAATTAACATTGAAATTGACATTGATAGACCAAGGTCACTTCTTGAATCCTTGGTCATACCTGTGGACCAGCGTATTTTTACGTTGACTGGACTGGTACCTCTAAGTGGGATCATCGTGTGTCCGTGACGCGTAACGATCGTAAATGGCGTATATGTTGTCGATTAGAAATCGGCATTCAAGATGCGTGGCGAGCCACGTTCGACCAAGCCACTCCGCAAGATCGAGACGCAATCGAGACAAGTTAGCTATTTATATAATTTACTACTATTCGCGATGCGCGCAACGAACTTTGGCACTGGGTGGTCCTTATTTGTAAGAGACCGTGCATATAACGAACAAGCCCAGCAATCTGCGTGGCGTGAAACAGTAATGAGCGCGCAATGTTTAGCGCTCCCTCGTATCTGCTTGAGTATTCGAATCGCGCCGGACGGAAGCTGAAGAATAGCATGAGGTATAGAGATTTTAGCGAGAGCAGTTTTTATAACGGTAATGATAAGAATCTACGACGCAAAGACAACAGTTTGTAAATAACAATAAATTTTGAATGGGAGAGACAAAGGAGCGAACTGAGAGATAAGGTTGAACGTACATCGTTTTAATTTAAAATTTAAATAAGGCCGTTTAACTTATAAAAATATAATTTGAACATATTACGAATTTTTTCGAATAAAAAGAGAGAATTATTATAGTTTTATAATTGTAAAGAAATTATTATTAAAATATACAGTAATTATTTGTATAATAATTGTAATTTTTTTGCTGCACGTTTACGTATATCTTGTGTATTTAATTGTGTATTATAAGATATACAAGATATGCTTCGTGGATGTATAACAGGCGATTATTTTATCGCAGGAATTTTGAAATCGTAAACTAAAAATTTGTTTTACTTTTTCGATGCTGCCGTGGTCACGCGTGCATACGAAATATACGAGTGATAATGTTAAAGCCAGTGATTTTGAAAGTTAAAAATTGAAAGTGCCGCGATAAAGAACTGTCCGTTGAGTAATGAAAAATCATGTTTTTAAATGTTGAAATTTGAAAGTATGATTTTTCATTACTCGACAGACAGTTCTTTACATCAGAGAGCTTATTTTAATACAACTTATACACTATATCCATAATAATTTTTCTGCGCGGCCTTCAAATTTTGTTACTTTACATTTTACGATATATTTAAATGTTTTACATATTGCATATAATTAGCGTCTATAATTAGAAGCGACCCTCGGATAAATGACTTTTGCCACACGGAAAAAAAATGTGGTAATTATTTACAATAAGGCTTTTTCCGAATTTTGATATTTTCTTGCGGCTCTCTTGGTGAAAACTTTTGTTGTGACTCCGACAGTGATAATCAATCGGGAAAGCCCGAAAAATATGTATAACCCTATCTATTTTTTTTGACATGCCGGAACATACACACACACATACACACACGCGGGGGGTGCAAGAGGGGGTCTTTGACCCCCCTCCCGCACCCACCTCCGCCGGTAGGCAGCGTGTCCCTCGCTTTACAACTTAAAGTACATGCTAAGGGTGCGATCCGATTCACGCTCACAGCGCTGAAAGCATCGCTCTTTACAACGCTGTGAACGTGAATCGGATCGCAGCCTTTAGCATGTAGTTTAAGTTGTAAAGCGAGGTCCACGCTGCCTACCGGCGAAGGTGGGTGCAGGAGGGTGGGCCGAAGGCGTGTGTGTGTGTGTGTGTGTGTGTGTGTGTTTTGGCATGTCAGAAAAAATATATAGGTATAAAAATAGGTAGGGTGCATATTTTTTGGGCTCCCACGATTGATTATTACTGTCGGAGTCACAACAAAGATTTTTACCAAGAGAGCCGCAAGAAAATATCAAAATTCGAAAAAAGCCCTATTGTAAATAATTACCGCGAGAACAAAAGGTTTTGCTAAATTATTGCTCTCGCTGCAAAAAATGTTAGTTCTTCATATTTTGCGACTAAATTTAACTAATTTTTTTTACCGTGCACATCAATACCGATTTATCTTATCAAACTTTGATATCCACGGCGGCTCTTGGCACGCCTTAATCTTTTTTTTTTCTAATACGAATGACGATGAATTAATGAAACACGCGTCGTACGAAATTAATGACACCGGGCGTCGGGACAGATAAGGAAGCGATGTCGCATCCGCATAGTGGTTTGCGGTCGGGGCGGACTATGGATAAAGGAGACAAAGACCAAGCTCGCGAAGAAATTTTTATATCGGCGACTGCCGGC